GTATAGGGGGTACCTTGCTCAATAGTAGCAACTGTGAGAGGGACCTCGGAGTCCTAGTGGACAATCAATATGAGCCAGCCGTGTGCTGCAGCTGCCAAAAAAGCCAACACAGTGCTGGGCTGCATTAACAGAGGGATAGAATCAAGATCATGTGAAGTATTAATACCACTTTACAATGCCTTGGTAAGGCCACACTTGGAATACTGCATCCAGTTTTGGTCACCACGATGTAAAAAAGATGTTGAGACTCTAGAAAGAGTACAGAGAAGAGCAACAAAGATGATTAGGGAACTGGAGGCGAAAACATATAAGGAACGGTTGCTGGAATTGGGTATGTCTAGTTTAATGAAGAGAAGGACGAGGGGGGACATGATAGCAGTCTTCCAATATCTTAGGAGCTGCCACAAAGAAGAAGGAGTCAAGCTGTTCTCCAAAGCGCCTGAAGGCAGGACAAGAAGCAATGGATGGAAACTAATCAAGGAGAGAAGCAACCTAGAACTAAGGAGAAACTTCCTGACAGTTAGAACAATTAACCAGTGGAACAACCTGCCTCCAGAAGCAGTGAATGCACCAACACTGGAAGTTTTTAAGAAGAAACTGGACAGCCATTTGCCCGAAATGGTATAGGGTTTCCTGCCTGAGCAGGAGGTTGGACTAGATGACCTCCGAGGTCCCTTCCAACTTTATCATCATCATCATCATCATCATCATCATCATCATCATCATCATCATCACTATTACTATTATTTCAATCTGTCTGACAAGAAGGTAGAAAGCCTCAAGCTTTCTAGGTAAATTACCTGGATATGCATTTTGACGATTGCTTTTCCAATCAAGGTGGCTCCAAAGAAAGTCCAAAAGGGAACCAGGAAGTGTCCGCATGTTATCCCGGCCAAGTCGAAGAGAGGATTGGGAATCTGGGAGGGAAAAGACAGCAGGATTACCATACATTTCCACACGCAATGTTCCAGGAACAGCTTTCATCAATACAGGTAGTCCTCGACTTACGACCACAATTGAGCCCAACATTTCTGTTGCTAAGCGAGACAATTGTTAAATGAGTTTCCCCCCATTTTAGGACCTTTGTTGCCACAGTTGTTAAATGAATCGCTGCAGTGGTTAAGTTAGTCACACGGTTGTTAAGTGAATCTGGCTTCCCCCATTGACCTCGTTTGTCAGAAGGTCGCAAAAGGGGATCACATGACTCTGGGACACTGCAACCGTCATAAATATGAATCAATTGCCAAGTGTCCGGATTTTGATCACATGACCCTGGGGATGCTGCAACAGTCATCAATGTGAAAAACGGTCATAAACCACTTTTTTTGGTAACTTCAAACAGTCACTAAATGAATGGTTGTAAGTCGAGGATTACCTGACAGAATGACAGAATAACAGAATTGGAAGGGACCCTGGAGGTCTTCTAGTCCAACCCCCTGCTCAAGCAGGAGATTCCGTACCATTTCAGACAAGTCTGAACATCATATGCTGCTGGTGAAGCAGTAAATGGATGTTGTCTTAAATATGCTGATGATCTGAGCGTTGCTGGCCGGGGAATTCTGGGAATTGAAGTCCACATGTCTTAAACTTGCCAAGGTTGAGAAACATTGGTCTAAACCAGCCACTGAGTTATTAAAACCACAGCTTTGTTAGCCTGGTTGAGAATCTGGACCGGATTATTATAGTATTTCAATTTAAAAAAAAAAATGAAGCAAGAAGACCACATATTGGCAAGTTTTCCATAATCAGCCTGTGTACCAGCGGGCTGCAGCCCTCAAACCATCCAGAGCAGGGGTCTTCAAACTTGGCCCTTTTATGACTTGTGGACTTCAACTCCCAGAATTCCTCAGCCAGGTACCAGCTGGCTGAGGAATTCTGGGAGTTGAAGTCCACAAGTCAAAAAAGGGTCATAGTTCCCTCATGCTGGCTGAGGAATTCTGGGAGTTGAAGTCCACAAGTCATAAAAGGGCCAAGTTTGAAGACCCCTGATCCAGAGGGCTTAGGCTTTTAACCCTTTTCCTGAATGCCTTTCTCATGTTTTTCAAAGTTATGCTTCAGCAATCTTCGTGTGACAGCCCATAAATTTAAAAACAAAACAAAAACAGGGAGACCTCTCAGCTTAGACGCTGTCCCAGATGAAGTAAAACCTTGCCCACATCTCTGTTTTAAAAATCCAGATTAGAAACAGCTCAACCGACGTCGTCCATTAGAAATGCACAGAAACCACAGTCGGCCATTTTAGAGCCATTTATCAAATATTCTCCACCTCTTGCCCTCCCCCACCGACAAATGTTTTCGTCCAGTGAGTCAGTCTCCAAAAATGGATCTCTGATGAACTGTGTGTCTGAAAACTCCCCCCCCACACACACAAAAAAAGAGGGGGGAAATAAACCTGGCATTTATTTTGTATGTATGCTGCTGAAATGGAGGGAACAGAAAATACAACCCCAAAATGGTCTCCTTTTCTAGCAGAATAATAACCGAATAATAAGAGTTGGAAGGGACCTTGGAGGTCTTCTAGTCCAACCCCCTGCTCAAACAAGAAATCCTATATTATTTCAGACAAATGGTTGTCCAATCTCTAATGTTTGAAGAGCAAAGGATCCTAGCTGAAAATTAACAATTGCTGTATTGGGGGCTCAGGTTTGACATGAACATTTCTCAACATTTATTTATTTCATTGATACCCTGCCTTTATTATTTGTGTAAATAACTCAAGGCAGTGAATATTCCTTCCCAGGACAACAACCCAGCGAAGTGGGCTGGGCTGAGAGAGAGGGACTGGCCCAAAGTCACCCAGTTGGCTTTCATTCCTAAGGTGGAACTAGAACTCTCCGTCTCCTAGTGATTGGCCAAAGTCACCCAGTCAGCTTTCATGCCCAAGGCAGAACTAGAACTCACCGTCTCCTGGTGAGATTGGCCCAAAGTCACCCAGCTGGCTTTCATTCCTAAGGCAGAACTAGAACTCTCCATCTCCTAGTGATTGGCCAAAATCACTCAAGTCAGCTTTCATGCCCAAGGCAGAACTAGAACTCACCGTCTCCTGGTGAGATTGGCCCAAAGTCATCCAGCCGGCTTTTAAGCCAACTAGACCTTAAAAGAGATAATTTTACCCATCATTGTCAATTGGAAGTAAGCAGTGGCTCTAACCATATGGTTTCACAACCATCTTTTTTTTTTGTGGGCTCCAGGTGCCATTTTCATTTGTTTTATGTGGTTCTTTTAATAAATGTTAATTTGCCAGTCAGGAGACTAAGAAATACAAATATGGACTTGCCAAAGATCACGTTATTTTGCTTTCAACCATTATATGGGTTGTGGATTTCTGTACGTCCACATTTTTGGAATTTATTTTCCCCTCTTTGGTGTTTCTCATTGTTATAGAAAGACGTTGGGAAGTTCTGGGAGCTGAAGTCCACCCATATTTAAAGTCGCCAAGTTTTTTTTTTAAAAAAAACTGGTTCTAAATCATCCTTTCAATCCAAAATGTACGCTTAGTGTAAAAGAGAGAGATGGATGGATGGATGAAGGGGAATGGGGAAGGAAGGAAGGAAGGTAGGAAGGAAGGAAAGAGATAGAAAGAGAACGAACGAAGGAAGGAAAGAGACAGAAAGAGAACGAAGGAAGGAAGGAAGGGAGGGAGGGAGGGAGGGAAGGAAGGAAAGAGACAGAAAGAGAAGGAAGGAAGATCAAAGAAGGTGGAAGGGAGACATGATGGCTCTCTTCCAGCATAGCTTGCCTCCTGGAGGACTTCAAACAGAAGTTACAATATTTCTCTTGGATGATCTGAGGGGGTCAGACTAGAAGACCTCAAAAGCCCTTTAATCTCTAGGATTTATGTCACTGAATCCCCCGCCTGCTTCTTTGGGTGAAATAAACAACGATCAACATTTTTTAAAAAAAACTTCCATTTCTAAAGTTATTTTCCTGGCACGGGGAAGGTTTGTTACAGTATTTGAGATAGAAAACTCTAAAGCTGCTGGAACACGTGAAAAAGATTTTCTGGCCATTGAGAAAAATAAATTGCATAAACACTTGGGTGAGCTTAAAATATTTACACACAAGAGCGGGGAGATTTTTCCGAGGCCTACTTAGAAAATGCCCACAAATGCTACATATTAATGCTAAGAAGCGACAAAATGGCCAGTCATTTCCCCCCCCCCCAAACAGACTGTAAATAAAATACTACTTGCCGCAAAGAAAGGTAGAGTGTTTAAAACGGTTTGTACATCATGTTTAAAAACCTAACTCTTTATCCCACGTCTAGACAAGGTTTGTAAGAGAATATCCCAGACTCGGTCCAGATTAACACATCCATATTCCATATTTCCACGGTGGTTAAAAGAGGCTTAAAAAAGGTAATTCATGAAGAAAATAGCCTTTGCCCTTTGAAATGGCAGTGAAACAACTCCAAGTGGGAACTCTCCCTCCATAGGCTGAACCTCACTGCACTAATAATAAACATTAATTTGAAGAACAAACAAGAGCAAGTCAATAATCAATACGGCTCTCAGTGTCAACGTTTTTGTGGCTAAAAAAAAAAAAACCCAGCTTAGGTTGCTTCCTATAAGCCAGGAAAGTTAGGATGCGCCAGTGGTATGAACTTGTTAATAAAGGTGGCGACAGTAAGCCGATGAGGTAGCACTGCAAATTAAAACCTTTCCACTACTTTTGAGGTTAGGAAGAAGCTGTTTTCCCGTGAACTTCGACTTTTCAGAAGTTTTTAAACGGCTCTGCTTCTTTTTATTTATCGGTGGGACTGGACCAACGGTGGGGCATGCGATTATGATTATCCCGGTTTATGATGATGCACTCACTGGATCTGGAAGCAAAACCCAGAGAGTAGCAGACGTGTGTTTATTTGCATCCGAGCACAAAATGTACCGAGGATTAAGTTTGGGCATGTTGTAATGGACTGAAAAGATTGAGGAAGCTGAGGACAGCTGAGCATTCAAATCAATTTTCAAATTCAAGCACACGGGAGGCTTTGGTATTGCGCAACCTGACGGGGACACTCGCCACAAGTGAAATAAATTACACCTCTCTGTTTTTAGGATAAATCAGAGTTCCACCCTTTATCTTAGTGCAGGGGTCTCCAAACTTGGCCCTTTTATGACTTGTGGATTTGAACCCCCAGATTTCCAGTGTGCCTGAGGAATTCTGGGAGTTGAAGTCCACAAGTCACAAAAGGGCCAAGTTTGAAGACCCCTGTCTTAGTGGCCTGTCACGGTGGCCAGAAGCACAACAATGGCTGTTTATTAGATTTATATCACATTTTTCCATCAGAGCTGAAAGCATCCTATACGGCAGAGGTTTCCAAACTTGGCAACTTTACGATGTGTGGACTTCAACTCCCAGAATTCCCCAGCCAGCATGGGGGAAGGTTGAGGAATTCTGGGAGCTGAAGTTCACAAGTCTTACAAGTTGCCAAGTTTGCAGACCTCTGCTATACAGGATTGATTCCTCCTGTTTTTCTCCAGAAAAAAAAACCTTGTAAGGTTAGTTGGGCTGAGTATGGAGGAATGGTCCAAAATCACCCCATGAGCTTCAATGGCTGAGGAAGGCCTTAAAACGTGGGTCTCCATGCTCCTAAGTGAAGACCTTACCTCTATCCCACCCTGGCTCTACAACTGAGAGGAAGCATTGTCCCAGTGTTAACCGGGGTCCTTCCATGGCTCGGAGGAGGATTAGAAACTGGATTTCCCAAGACCTAGAACATCACACCACACTAGCTTTCCAAGGGGCATCTGGCCTGCCATTGTGGCAAGCAGGATACTGAACTTGATGGGCATTACACTAGAAAGGGTAGGGCAGCTGTGGCTTCTGCAAGCAGGCTCTGGGCAAGGTTTGTGGACAAGAAAGCATGATAAGCTCCTTTCTCTTTTCCTCTCCTCTCCTCTCCTTTCCTCTCCTCTCCTCTCCTTTCCTTTCTTCCCCTTGCCTCCCCTTTCGTCCTTCTTTCCTATCCTGGTCTTGATTTGATATCCATCCATCCAGGTCCATGACTATAAGAGAAACTTCCTTCCTTCCTTCCTTCCTTCCTTCCTTCCTTCCTTCCTTCCTTCCTTCCTTCCTTCCTTCCTCCCTCCCTCCCTCCCTCCCTCCCTCCCTCCGTTGGCCAGTGGTTGACTCTACACTTACCCTAGTTTAAGGGGGTCTCATGAAGGAATGGTAAATGGAAAGGGGAGAGAACCATCTAGAGCAGTGGTGGCGAACCTATGGCACGCGTGCCAGAGACGGCACTCGGAGCCCTCTCTGTGGGCACGTGTGCCGTCGCCCCAGCCCCGCCTCCCCCCGCGGCCCCCTCCTCACCAGCAGCTCCCCTGGAGAAGAGTCACCCCCGGGTTTGGCCCGCATGGAGTAGCACAGCCAAGGACATAGCCGGGCAGCAGGGACAAGACTCCGCCCTCGTGCCCCATAGCGTGCAGATGCTGCTGCGGGGTGTGGGCGGAGGGCGTGGCTGCCATGGCGCTGCACGGCTGCCTGGGCGATCTGCGGCAGGCCATGGAGGCGATGCGTAGCCCTGTGGGTGGGCAGGGCAGGGGGCGGTGCAGGCAGGGCAGGGGTGGGGAGCGGTTTTTGGGCACTCGGTCTCTAAAAGGTTCGCCATCACTGATCTAGAGACTGCACTCCCAAAGACCCCCAAGACCCTGTTTCTGAGCTTCCAGAAAAAGACATGCTAGCAAGAGCTTGCAATTCATGCTCTAGCAGAGAAGCAAACAAGTTGCATCTTCTCTGCCAGAAACTTGACAGTCACCCCTAGTTGCTACAAAAGGCAGAAATGACACACCAATTCAAGATCTCGGCAAAAAAAACCAAAAAAACAAAAACAAAACAGAACCAACTCAACCATCGAATCCAGGGGTCCCCAACCCCTGGTCCGTGGACTGGTACCGGGCTGCAGCATGCCAGCAACCAGTCCGCACAAACAAGCAAAGCCCCATCCGTGGGATGCAGGCAGCACACAAAACGATGCACTCTCTGGAACTTTTCTCCATGGAACTGGTCCCTGGTGCCCCAAAGGTTGGGGGCCTCTGATCTAATCCATTTCTGCTTTTATCAAATGATTTTTCCCCCTTCTAGTCCCCTCCCCATTCCTTCATTTGCCTAATTGACAAACTACTGATGGAAGAGAACATTTGTAGTCCGGGTTGAACTACGGGATCCGTGGTGCTCTCTGAGCTGGGTGGTTTTCTCGCAAACGTTTCGTTACCCAACTAGGTAACATCATCAGTGCTAGAAGGGAGTGAGGTTTGCTCTCATTTTACATACTAGCGGTTTGCCCTGTCAGTGTTGGTCGGAGTTTTCTTGGTGGTTCCCCGATTAGGCTGTTGTTTATTGTTAGCTTGTTTGTCCGAGTTGGTAGTTCTGACTTACAGGGCAAGCCAACTGTATAGAAACAAAGAGCAAACCCCACTCCCTTTTAGAACTGATGGTGTTATTTAGTTGGGTAATGAAATGTCTGCAAGAAAACCACCAAGCTCAGAGAGCACCAAGGGACCCACAGTTGATAAAACTCCAATGCAAGGCGCCTTTGTCAACGCTGCTAACATCGGATGTTTTTGCATTGACAACAGAGGGAAATGTAGCCATCTTTTACTTTTGCTTTTAGAGTTAGATGATGCTGGGAGGGGAGATGTGAACGAGAGTCCAGCTAGACATAACAACACTAAACCTAGTGTGAGAAACAAGGTTATTGTAACCAGAGCTGATAAGGAACTGGCGGCTGGAGAACTGGAGAGGAAGCCCGCACTTCAAGCTAATTGGGGAATGTGATTTATGACTGTTAATTGGAGGAGGCAATTGTGCTTTGATACTATGTGTCCAGGGGAGGGGAATTCAAATTTTTATTATGTAGTGCCGATATTATGCTACCCGAATAAAAGATTCTTTAAGGTAAACAATGCCTCGAAGTTCTTTTGAAGAGTTTCATCTGTTGGAACCGTGACACCCTTCCTTTTTTCTGTCTACAACAGAGGTCATTTGTCAGGAAAAATACTCAAAAAAAACATTTTAAGGCACGAAATCACATGGATGGAAATAGGATCAAGAGGCTAAATAGATTTTTTGGGGGGTGAGAACTTACGGAAGCGCATGCCAGGATGCCGAAAAACCCGACTTTCTGCACCAAATTCTGGATGGCCAGTTTAGCCCGAGAGGCGAAGTCCTAGAGAGAAGGAAGACAACAGGTTAAGGACCTAAAATGGTGGGAAAATTAAGCAACAACAACCCTCAGTAGTGCTGGCATGGAGTAGCAATTCCACAGGATTATGGTTTTTTCGTGCTTCATCTCTCCACAGGTGGTCCTTGACCTACAACCGTGATTGAGCCTTAATAGTGACGTAAGACTATTTTTCACTATTTTAACGACTGTTGCAGCATGGTCATGTGATCAAAATTTGAATGCTTGGCAACTGGCTTGTATTCATGACGGTTGCTGCGTCCCGGGGTCATGTGATCACCTTCTCACAAGCAAAGTCAGTGGACGAAGCCAGACTGACTTAACAACCGTGTGACTAACTTCACCACTGCAGCAACTGAGCTAACAACTTGGCAAGAAAGGTCGTAAAACGGGGCAAAACTCACTGAACTGTCTCGCTTAGCAACTAGAAATTTGGGGCTCAATTGTGGTCGTTAAGTCGAGGACTAAACCGCTCCACAAAATTATTTTGTTAAATAATAGATTTATAACTCACTGAAATCCGGGGGAAGGGCTCAAGAATTCCCGGCAGCTTTTATAATGTATATTAATACTTCAAAGAATGTTATAACAGACCACTATGAGAAAAAAATGTATCTTACATAACATGAAATAAATCTGTAACCCATACATTATTAATGAATGCAGTATGAAGAAGGAATTCTTACTTAATCCCAAACTGATTATTTTGAACAACTTAATGGGCCCCGCAAATAGTTTAGAAGAACATAAAAGCAAGATTATTTGAAACACAAATCCCAATAATGCAATGGCATAAGAATACAAGAATGGGCTAATAGATGAAGCCCAAAATACATTTTTTAAAACATCTGTTGCATCCAGATGTCTTCTTGGTGGCCACCTCAACCTTCTGGACCAGTCTCCCACTTGAGATCCAAGGGATCCCTACCCTTTTAGCCCTCCATTGGACTGTGAAGACCTGCCCCCCCCGCCCCTAAACATTGGGTTAGGATGGAGGATTTGCTGGGAGGCTGTTTGGGCGGGGTCCTGGAGGGAAGGCTATGTTTTAACTATGTCTAGAATAGAATAGAATAGAATAGAATAGAATAGAATAGAATAGAATAGAATGGAGCGAAGCGGAATGGAGTAGAATAGAAATCTTTATTGAGAATAGAATAGAATAGAATAGAATAGAATAGAATAGAATAGAATAGAATAGAATAGAATAGGAGTGGAGTGGAGTGGAGTGGAGTGGAGTGGAATGAATGGAATGGGACGGGACTGAACGGAGTGGAGTGGAATATTCTTTATTGGCCAAGTGTGATTGGACACACAAGAAATTTGTCTCCAAAATGTACTATTCTGCGAAGAATTGACCATTGCTTCTAGGAAATCCCCTTTTACATACATTTTAACTTTGTTTCAGTGTTTTAAAAACAATACATTATTTAATTTGTTTTTAAATTATTTTTAAATTATTGTATCTTGCTGTCTTATAACTTTTACATTTTCTTGAGCAGTTGCTAAATGGAGGGAGAATTAAAAATACAATACATAAATGAGAGGATCGTAAAAATTGCTTTTTACACAGTAGCTCCGCTACAATAAATGTATACAGACCTGAATCTAATTAAACTGATTATACAGTGATGAAATCCAAAGTTAGTTTTAAATTTTTACTGTGGTAATTTAAAGCTCATTAAAGCAATTATTTTTAAACTGTACTTAGTCACTAAAATAATTTATTTTTCACATGTTTTTAATGTAATACATTTTCTTCTTGTTAGTTGACCAGCTTATTGCTTGGGGAAAAAAGAGGAAAGTTCTTAATTTGGAATTCACAATTAATTCTGCAGAATCGTCTCCAATATTGGAAAATAGGTTAATTTTATATGCTAGGAAATAATTGATGGATAAATTATTTAGTTAATTTAGAAAGAAAGAAAGAAAGAAAGAAAGAAAGAAAGAAAGAAAGAAAGAAAGAAAGAAAGAAAGAAAGAAAGAAAGAAAGAAAGAAAGAAAGAAAGAAAGAAATATTTTTTATAACTGTCACATATTTGTTTAACATTCATTGCTAATGGATAAATAACATCACACAATATAAAAATATTGAATCTTCTAACAATTAGGAATAGGAAATTAAATCTAATATAGACGCAGACTGAATTTATAAACTGTAATATTCATTAGAGTATTGATATTCAATTTAAAGTTTCTGCAAAAACTAATTTCCAGAACAAAATTCATATATGAAATCATTTTTATTTGGCATTCATTGGTAAATATTTGATTCTACAAATATTCAGTTCTTTAAGGCTTTCTCATCAATTCAAGTAAACAGATATATATATATTGACTGTAAGCTGATGGTAAAAATAGAATTTGACATGCTAACTTCAACTATTTTTTTTAAAAAAATAAAAAGTTGGATCTATATAATTCTTCATAGGAATAGCATACAATTGCTATGTTTAAATATACTTATCTATAAGATGCAGATGTAACTATATTTTAAAAATAGATTTTCAAAATTTTGAACTGCTAAAATGCAAAATGTTCCCAAATTCAAAAGTGCAAAACAAAAGTAAAAACAAGACAAAAAGGATTTTCACCCCAAACTCAATTTCTTCTATCCAAGTAAATTTTATTTATAACTCTCTCAAACAGGGAAAATTAATAATAAACCATAATACTAATAGTATCGAACAAATCTATACTTATACTATATCTGCTAGCATTCTGCCTAGTTTTAGTGTAGAATGGTGATTTTTGAACTGTAAAATTATACAAAACTTGCACATTAAATTTACACAACTTTGGGGGGGGGGGGGATCATCATTTAATGGACTGACTTCTCCAAAACATTTCCCATGCGTTTGAGATATTTTAGCACAAAGCTCTCGCATTTTGGAAAAAGGAACTTTATACCTGATCTGGAGTGATTTAGATAAACATTTGTTACCCAAAGACATCTGGTTTATGGATTATGCCTTCCACCCCTAGCAAACTTTGAATCTTTATTTTCAATACTACTTGATTTAATCAATTTAAATTAAATTACCAATGGTTTCCAGATGTTGTAACACATTATCCCAACTTGCTTTCCAATGGAGGCCAAATAGAAGTCACAACAAACTCCTAGATAAAGTCAATAGTAAATCTAAGCTGCCAGAAAGAAAATGTTTCGCTCCAAATTAAATACTGACATTGAGAAATACAGAAAGACAATATGATGCCCTCTAAGGAAAAAAGTTTGATAAGGAAATTTAGGTATCTTGTAGTTAATTGCACAGCTATCATTTCCAAAATTAATGATGATTGAGACTGGCTTAACAATTGCAGGACATTTTTTTCCTTAAGATTTATAATTGGGGTCTGAATTTTAACATCCGATGTGATGTTTCTAAACTGGAACTTCTTTATAGAAAGAAAGAAAGAAAGAAAGAAAGAAAGAAAGAAAGAAAGAAAGAAAGAAAGAAAGAAAGAAAGAAAGAAAAGAGAGAAAAAAGAAGAGAAAGGAAAAGAGAAAAAGAATGAATGAAAAAGTAGACAAAGAGGAGTAAAAAAGATAGAAAGGAGGAAAGAGAGGAAGGCAGGAAGGGAGTGGGAGAGAGAGAGAGAGAGAAAGAAAAAAGAAAGAAAGAAAGAAAGAAAGAAAGAAAAAGAAAGAAAGAAAGAAAGAAAGAAAGAAAGAAAGAAAGAAAGAGAGAGAGAGAGAGAGAGAGAGAGAGACATAGAGGAGGAAAGAAAAGAAGTCAGGAAGGTGGGAACCAGGAAGGAAGGGAGGGAGAAAGAGAAAAAAGGAAAAGAGAAAAAGAAAGAATGAAAAAGTAGACAAAGAGGAGTAAAAAGATAGAAAGGAGGAAAGAGAGGAAGGCAGGAAGGGAGGGGAAGAGAAATAAATAAATAAAGAGAAAGAAAGAAAGAAAGAAAGAAAGAAAGAAAGAATGAAAGAAAGAAATGGCTATTTTTATATGCAAGCAATTAAGTGAAGGACAACTGATTTATTTTATGAAGAAAGAAAGAACAAAAGAGAGAAAGAGAGAAAGAAAAGAAAAGAGAAAGAAAGAAAAAGATGGAGAAAATAGGCTATTTTATATTCAAGTAAATAACTGATGAACAACTGATTTATTTTATGAAGAAAAGAAAGAAAAAGAGAGAGAAAATAGGTTAATTTTATACACAAGTAAATAACTAATGAACAACTGATTTATTTTATGAAGAAAGAAAGAAAGAAAGAAAGAAAGAAAGAAAGAAAGAAAGAAAGAAAGAAAGAAAGAAAGAAAGAAAGAAAAGTTGGAAGAAAAGTTGGAAACTGGTGACTGGTGAATGGATTTGGGTTACCTGAAATAAAGTCCTATTTTTAAAAAGTAGAAGAAGAAAAGAGAAGTGAAGAAGAAAACATTTCATGCTATCGGGGTCTTTCATAAGAGGTTTCCCCATAATGTCCCTATTACAAGGCTAGATCTGAACATTAATATTTTCAGTTCCTATTTTGCCAAGACTGTTTCATAAGGCATGTGGGTTATTGTGATAATTTAATTGTAAATGAAAGGCGTTCTTATTTTGTTGGTAAAAAACAGACATAAATTAAAAATAAAAGCCAAAAGTATTGGATTTTAAAACACATAAAATAAGTTGAAGTAATTTCCAAGCCAGCCTGAATTTCTTTCCTAACTATCCTTGTATGAAAAAAAGGGGAAATGGTAATAAAAGAGATCTACTTGTCTTTAAAGAAAAATGAGGATGTGAGGAAAGAAAAAGAGAAAGCATTACAAACTTAGGTTTATCTCATTTTAAGGAAAAAAGACTAGGTATATTATTCAATATTATGGATTTTATTTAGTTAAAACAAGAGATAAGGATAGCTGCACATAATAATGATACCCACACATCACAGAATGAATTCAAAAACACAGGCACATAGCTTTTTTATTTTGGAAATCCTAACATGCCAAAATAATTAGACAGTCAAAATTTAAAAAAAATACAAGTTTTAGAAATAT